AACTTAATTAATAATTCTTACTTCCAGAGATATATAATTGTATGCGCTATATATTTTTGTAATCCTTGAGAAAATGTTATTTATATAGGCTACAGCCTTTTAGCCTATATGGAATATATGCCACTGTATACTTAGTATAGACATTGAACATTGTTGTGTAGGTTAATAGCCTCCTCAATCTCGTTTCCACAAACACATCATAGTAGAGTTCAAGAGGTCCATGGGCCTTATAGGTCACCTGAGCATCAAATAACTCTCCAATCATTGAATTTAATTCATATCTTAAATCAGAGGCCATGGCATACATAATTTTGAAAGAGGCACCATTGCTTATGATAACTATACACTTAGCATGCTTAGTAAATTTACCCATAGGCAGAGTAGAAGGAAAAATGCATTTCAACTAATTTGTTACATTGAGCAATAATCAATAGTGTCCCGACCCATAGGTACCCCTGACCGTGGGTTGCACAATTTTGGAAAAAAGGCACTCTTGCTGATCATAAATGTTTGAAGGAAGTAATTCATTTTTATGCCCGCCATGAATATGGCCGGGGCATATAGCATTTGTCATGTCTGACCGTCTTCCGTTCTTCAGTGTCCTTCCGTCACACTAATTGCGTTTAACTCTGTTCAAAGCTAAGTTTCAGAGAAACTATCCAAGGTATTTTCATCAAACTTATAGATATTGATGATGCAACTGCATCAACATTTTTTGACCTTGACCTTTCCTTTGACCCAAACCATACTTTTCTAAAATTAGTGTTAAGGTAATTCCACCCTCATATGATGTCATAGGTTTTTGCAAAAACCATAATTAGTTTAAATTCATACCTGATAGAACAATATCTTTTGGAAGAATGGTTTACAATAGGTGTAATGATAAATATTTTTAAGTAAAAGAATTTTAAAAAGAGGCCCATGGGCCTTATTGGTCACCTGAGCATCAAGCAACAACTTTCCAACAATGTATTGAATTTGGTTCATATTTTAGAATCGGATTAGTGCCCCGACGCACAGGAACCCCTGACCCTGGGTTCACACATGCAAAATTTTGGAAAAAAGCACCCTTTCTGATCAGAAATGTTTAAAGGCATTAAATCATTTTTAAAATATAAGAAGAGCCCCTCTCTTCTGTGTTATCCTTGACCCACATAACCCAGGTGCCTTGAAATTCACAATCCTAAAAGAAGGACCATTGACTTGCATCTGGAAAAAAAAAACCTTAAATCTTCAATTTGTAGAAATGGATTAAAAAAAAAAATCTATATGTGTTTTGTGCGCTTCATTTTAGCTGTAATAATGTAGCCCTCTCCAATTTTTTTTTAATCTGATATTTTCTGGAGACCTACCTACTCCCCCCCCCCCCCTCCATCTGCCCTAAAAAAAGGGAAAGGGCTACATTTTTACAGATAAATGTAAATGATTATGCATTTTTTTAAAAAAATAAACTGTTATGTTATCCATGATATACTTTTAATTAATTCTTTCCTATTCCTGAAACCCCCATGCAATAAAAGTGGACACATACAAAACAAATTATATCAGATTTATTGAGGTTTAAATTCATAAGTATATAATGAACTATAAGTAAACCAAAAGACATTTATAGATAATCAATAAAAGTTCTTCATCATAACAGCAGTTTGCATTAAAACACCTTAATCTAGAAACATAAAATATATATTTATGTGCATATAATATACTTGTAGTACTGTATATATTGGTTACATATAAGTTGACTTTTAAATAAGTGTACAACAATCACTTATATCATCATGTCATATTAAAAACATCTGCATTCAATAGTTGTGTCCAAAATCATTGTGTTTAACATTTCATAGAATGTTATGATTCAAATTATTTTTAGTTTTGAAAGCTAAAAGGACTTGATTGTTAAAAACATTTTGCAAATGTCTGAAATTTTACCATAAAACAATATTCGAAGCAATTTCCACTTTTATTTATATATATATATATATATATATATATATATATATATATATATATCTGAAAGAAGCAAGGTTTACCTCCCTTTACGGGCTGGCCAGTGACCCCTTCTTTCCACACTACTTACCTTCAAAAAGTGTTGCTTCATGTAGGTGATTTCAGACGCTTGCAACATTAAAAAGATATTATTAAATCTATCTTGATAAATTTGAGCCCATTATACTGTAGTAAGGTTTGGGGCATGAACATGCACATTGGCCCCCTTAACGTATTTTATACAAATACATTTCACTGTTTCTGGATATCTTCACATGTTGTACAAAAAAAAAAAAAACAAAAAAAAAAAACCTATAGACTTATTCAAAATTTTCACAATATTATGAAAAGACTGTATTGAACCAACAAATTTAATGCAAGACGACAAGAAGAAAAATATTTGAAAATATTATATTGTTTAAACAATCTTGCACTGGCAATAGCCCATACCAAAGAAAGTAATAATTAAGGTATAACTTAGGCTCTGGGGTACAAAACAAGATGAAAAATATTTGAAATTATTAAGTACATTGTTTAAACGATCTTGCTCTGGCAATTAACATTTCAAAGCATTGCAAAAACAAAAGAAAACAAAAAAGTAGCATAAAAATGTCCTATATCATTAAATACTTTATATATAGTGTGATTTAGTAATCTAAATTTAAATATTGTGCAATTTTTCATATTTCACAGAAACAGCTGCATTCATTCATTCATTTTTAGAACAACTTTTTTAACCTTACATACCGAAAATGAAAAGAAAGATTAAAAGTTGTTCATATAATGAGATTCAAAGATCATAAAGGTTTTAGGATCATGAAACAGAATAACAAATGTGTAGTGAAGGATATAACACAAACTTTTTCCTTCAAAAATTCAATTATCTTAGGTGCCTCTCTCACTTTATATGTGATCATATTTGTTTACTTAAACAACAAATGTTTGGCCAAGCAACATAATATGGCAAAAAAAGCAGAAATGAAAGTGATCTATAAGTTTTTAATTACATTTCCATAGAAAGGAATATTGAAAAATTATCAGTGTAACTCTTCTGTGTGGGAGATAAAAAAAAATTGTTTTGGTATGTGTCCTTAAAGAAAATATGGATGTTTATTAGGGTGAATATGGTACTAATATGACATTTATCATAATTTAAAAAAATCAAAATTGTCCATGTAGAGTTGAGAAACATTTTAGTATTATCAATAAATAATATTAAATAAAAAGCTTGATAAACTAAATAACAAATGATTTCTTAAATATGACTTTGAATAACAGAATGTAGATAATATTACTGTTTTACATGTAACACAATGAATTAGTCTATGCAAATAAAAAAAACAAAAACAAACAAAAAAAGATTAACATTTTACAAGTATTAAATAGAGCACAGGAGTATTCAAGTCTTTTCAGAGACAGTAAGTTCCTTTTATATGTCCACTGGAGCTAGTGTTTGTTTTCAAGGAGAAAAGTATTCTGGATGTTTACAATGTCTTATGTAGATATACTGATAGTCACTTGTGATATAGGTTTACCAAGTAATTTAAGCAATGTAATTTATAAGAAAGTACATAATTATAAATATCATAATTGCAGAGTTAATCATATTATTGTATAATAGCTAATAAATACTTATGTATAGTACTAGAATGCTTTCTAATATAATCTACTTCTACAAGTTAAGATTATATAATCTAGAATTAATATACCCCAAAAATTGATGATTTAAATGCCCATGAGATGAAATGTTAATTGTTTAACTGTACACGTTTTACTGATAAACACTGATACATGTCTAGTACATTAAATACACAAAAATATGTAATATTGTAGAGAGTAAAAATTCACAAAATAAATCATACGAGATAGAAATAATACTTGATAAATTGTAATTTTATCATATGGGTGGCCACAACAGAAGACATGCTATAAAGAAACATATAATTATACATCAATCAAATCTTGCAGACATACCCGTATATTAACTTTTTCAAATAATAGTGTATCATTCTTATTCAAAATCTTAGGAACACAACATTTCACTTATAGTAAACTATATTAATTCGATTATTACAGAAATGTTAACATGTGAATTTGCAGTCTGTTAGGTAATAAAATTACCTCCTACACCAACTATGTAGCAGTTTTTCAATGCTGTTGTGGATTTTAAATAGTGGATTAACAATATAATACATAAATTAAAGATAAATGAATAATAAGTATAGACAGTACAAACAATCATAAATAAACTACTGGGTAAAATAATAATTTCATCTCATGGGCATTGTAACTTGAAATTTTTTTTGTCCCAATAACTTCCAAATAGCGAGTAAGTAATTTAATCAATGTGCTTTTAAATACATTTATATATAAGCAACATATTGAAAGTTATTGGGACAAATAAGGCAGTTGATGAGTGGCAACCCTTGTTTTGTCTAACCACTCTTGGCAGTTTGTAAATATTTAGCTTCCGTTGGAAACTAAATATTTACATACTGCCTGTTTTATGATCAAGCGGGTTTATAATACTATACATTGTAATTAAAATGCAGTTTTGTCATTAGAAAAGCTTGCTTAAGTCAAATCTGCAGCACAATATATCATATTATGGTCAGACCAATAAGCCTGAAGAACATCTGTTTCTAAATCAGTGAAGTTGGTAAATATTAGGTCTAACTGTGTCTTATTCTTTGTTGTTACCTTGTTTATGATTTGCGCATAACCAAATGTTTCTTTCATAAAGTTCAGGAAATGTGCATACTGACCAGTACTTATATCCAAATTAAAATCTCCCATTATCACAATCTTTTCATCTTTATCAACCAATGGGAGCAACCTGTTTTTCAAGGTATCGTAAAAGAGTTGAAGAGTACAAGAAGGCTGCTTATATAAAACTACACACTGTACTGGAGTATTGGAGAGCATAATCGAAATGATGGAAAATTCAACAGATTTTGAAGTAAATGAGTTGTATGAAACACACTGTAATCGATTTCTTAGATATATGACAATACCATGATGTGGTCTGTTCTGGGAAGAACTTAATTGCATCATTCCTGAACATTGTAAAACCTTCTAAAGTAAAGTCTTCATCAGAATCTAATTCCCAAAGCCAAGATTCAGCAATACCAATAACATCTGCAGCTAAAACACTTGGTTCTGACTTTATATCAAGGAAGTGTTTGTGAAGAGATCTGGCATTGTTGAACAAGAATTTTATGTCTTTACATACGGAGTAAAGTGGTGTGTAAGAGAGTTGCAATCTATTTTCTCGCAATCTTTCCATCTCTTTATCAACAGTATCATCTTTTGAGAGACTTTTTTCATTGAAATCCAGAATGAACAGACTATCAAGTGACCTTACTCTTGAGAGTGCAACATAATGTATATGAGGAATTTTGCGCTGCTTTGTCTGTGCTAAGCTGATTACTGCCTTCGAAAGAGTTGCTCCTTGTGCTTTGTGTATTGTTTTTCCAGCAGAAGGTTGCAGGGGAAACTGAACTCTCTCATATGTCTTCCTGTTATAAACAAATGTTCTTTTAGCTTCAAATACCGGAGTCCATGCAGTATTCACATTTGTGCTATACAAATGTCTATATTGATGTCTTCGCGAAATACCTATACTTGAGTCAGCAAACAGTACCCATACTATGGCAGGTCTTAATTGCGACTCTTTATATTCAATATATTTCACAACACAGGAAGCACCATTTGTCAATCCATCTGTAACAGCAAGATTTACTGATATGTCATAGAGCATATCTACAGCAATAACCAAATTAGTTCTTAATTGTCCAGTAGATGCTGGGTTTTCAGGCAAGTTTTGAACTAGTTTCAATTTCACTGATGCTGAAAGTTTTGTCTGGGATAACACATCTGTGTCTGCTCTTACATTTACTTTATTTGTTGAAAGGTTTTCCATAAGATTGTTATTAAAACAATCTACAAACTTGTTCTCAATAAACAGATGAGGTGCCTCCTTAGGATAGACTTCAGAGTCTTGCTTGATGATTCGTTGAGATATGAGTTCTTTGTCTTCATCTGTCATCTTGTTTTCACGTAGCCTATTTAACATTTCTGCAAATCTGAGGTCATCTTTTTGTCTCATAATTTCAGTGAGTTCATGCATATGAAAATGCTCATGCCACAAATTCTTTGCTAAACTCTGACCAGGATTAGAAAGATCTTTGAAAATCCACTTGTCTCCAACAGGTGGTAACTGATACAAATCACCTACAGCTATGATGCTAATACCACCAAAATCTTGTTTTCTACCAGTAAGTTGTTGAAGTCTATCATTTATAAATGTCAGCATGTTATTTCCTACCATTGAAATTTCATCTATTATCACGACTGACAAATTCCGGTATTTTGTCCTAAATGAGTTCAGTTCATCTGCACTCATGTGTTGCTGAGTTTGATACATTTTTCTGTGAAATGCTGATGCTATAGTAGTCCCTTTGATGTTGTATGCTGCTTTGCCAGTGTGAGCACAAAGTAATATTCTGATATCATCAGGGTTTTCACCTTCTTTTGAATACAATATTCTGTGTAATGTTTGAAAAATGGCATCAATAACCACTGATTTTCCAGCACCTGCTCCACCAGTAAGAAAAGCATATAATGGTTCATCTCCCATTTGAATCCAGTTTGTTACATGATAGTAAAATTCCCTCTGCTTAGTATTCAGGGATTGCAAAAGTTTATAATACTGCTGATCAGGAATGCGGACAGCACTCATTTCTGTTTCAGATACTTTTGAGGACAAGCCAAGTTCCGGCCCAATATCAAAATCTCTGTGTTGAACTGTATCAGGATCAAAATGAACAAATATCTCGGATGGTTCAGAACCTATCTCTGCATCTTCTGCCTCAGCATGTTCTGTGTTTGGTGCTACTGTCTCCAGATCATCAAGATCTTCTTCTGCCTGAAGTCGAGCTTGTTCCAATTCATCTACAAAATGCTCATACTGCTTTTGTTTCACTTGTATCATACATGCTTTTTCCCTGTAGTGCTGTTCATAAGTTTGATGACTACCAAGTAGGTCAGCATTCTCATTTCTCCATGGCAGAAAGAGAAGAATTCTTTCTCTGTAATACTGTTCAGAATTTGTTTTTTGGCTGTAGCCTACATATCTTATAACCCGTTTGTTTTTTCGTCTTCTGATCTTAATCCCATTTTTCAAATGAACTAACACATCCTGATCAGTAAAAGTTTCTTGAGAATTATCTTCTGGGTTATCATCATTCACTTCCTCTTGTATATCTTTTCTGATTTCTTTTGGGAAAGTCACTTCCAATTCAGAAACAACATCAGCTAAACACCAATTTTCTAGCAGTTTTGGTCTTCTTGCATATCTTTGTATCATACTATCTGCCTTAATATCAGTTGAATCCTTGGGTAACTCGTTCAATTCATCTTGATGTTTCAGTAAGAAAACTCGGTCTTCAGGTGGTGAGGTATTGATAAAAACAACCTCTCTACTTGCTTGTGTAAGTGGCATCTGAAGAATTAAGTAACTTGCCTCTTGTGCACTGACCTCAACAAAGTTTAAGAACTTGTTTCCAATATGTCGGACTTGTCGCTTAAGATCCATATTTCCTTCTGCAGCTTCTTGAGATGCCTTATCAAGCATTGCACTGATTCCTCTCTGAGATTTGCTGATATAAGCAACAATATATGTGGCACATGCATAAGGATCAAGTACAAACTGAATATCTAAGTTAGCATTCCAAGCCTTCAACACTGATGAGTTATAGTAATTCACTCTCATCTCAGACGGACTTCTCTTCAGAAACACTTTAGGACCTTTCAAGGAAGCTCGAATACATTTTATATACTCATCCTCACACATTTCTACTACAGTCTGTAAGAATGACTCATAGTCTAAACTACAACCATCTTTGAAATCATTCATTTTCTTCTGAATATCAGAATATATCTTTCTATAATGGTCAACATCAAAATCCAAGGGTTCAAGAAGCATGGTTTTGGGCAAAGGTGGCAATGGAAATCCAAATCTGCATACAGATCTACCACCTTTTTTGCAAGTTTTTGAGTGCTTATGTACTTGAAGATCTACAAGCTGCTTCATTTGAGAATCATTTTCCTGCGAACCACATGTGACATACTTATCTACATAAAGTTCAATTTCCTCATTGCTATTTTCTTTGTGCTTTGGAGCATCACTTGTCCATACCAGCATATGAATGTGTGGCGAACCTCGGTTTTGAAATTCTACCCTTCGAAACACATCAGTGACAACACCCAGAGGATTATGAGGACTTTTAAGCACAGTATTGATGAAAAGTTGAACTCTGTTGTCAAAGAATCTAGCACATGTCACTGGATCTTGTTGCACTAGTTTTGATTTTTCACTCCAATTCAAATTCTCTAATTCTTCTTGTGACAGGGTTTTTCCATCTAGTGTTGCCAATGTTTTAAGCAGATCTTGCCATCTGGTATCAGCTGATGAGAGAGAAATAAACCAGGTTGGAAGACCCAACTGCCTTATCATGGCAAATACATCTTTCTTTTTAGATGAGAGATAAGCAGGAGAATTTCGAAGTGTTCTGAATATATAATACCCTTCATTCAGTCTCACAATTTTTTCCGCAGAGGCTGGATTTAAAACTTGTTCTGCAGTGATTTTCTTACCATCTGATTTACATCTTCTCAGTGCCAAGTTAACTTTGTCACTAACTTGCTTAATTTGAATTTTCTTCAATTTAAAAAAGATGTTAGGTACAGATTGTGCTGCTCGTCTATCAACACTGCGCAACTCCCATTTTGCAATATCACTGTAGTGTACTGGAACTTCTCTTTCCTCACTTTCAACTCTGCGATGACCACAAAATATTGTTGGAAAACACAGATATTCTGCATCTTTATCTGTAAATAGACTTATTGGTTTTTGGTTTTCTCCAGGGGCAAACACATAGAGTTTATTTGTATCAATGTCTGCTTCATCAACAAGTGTATCAGAATTGCCTTGAATACAATCATCTGAAGAAACTTCACAAAATCCATCATCATTTCCTTCAGATTCGCGATCATCGCTATCATTTGAACTACCTATCAGTTCTTGCACTGTTTCCTCATTACTTTTCTCTATATCATCCCTCCAAGAATGGTCTATCACTATACCAGAATTTTTATATAATTCACTATTTTTCATAAGCCACTGTAAAGCATTTATAACCACATTCGGACGAACATTTTCTGTAAAGCAGGCCGATTTGTGAGATAATCTCTTCTTTAATTTGACAGCTATAGTCACATGCTCATCTATTTGTCTGGGAAGGGCATTTACTGTAGGCTGAATATCAACCGGAACATTAACAACATTTCCTTTCACTGACATTTGACCTCCTCTGGGTAATTCTCTAATTTGCATAAATGGTATGCGTTGAGATATCAACCTCTCTTCCAGTGGATGTAAATTCAAAGCATCTGGTTTACCAGGCCATTTCATTCCATTTTTAACTGAAAGTTTTGGAATTTTTTCATCCTTCAGAGCTGAACAGCAGGTTAAACATAGCCATTCTATGCCATCCACAGATTTTAAGCCAGTACAAATACTTTTACTGCTACTACTAAGATTAGTTGTATTGAGCTTGACCACGCTTTTCAAAAACCAAGTCTGATGACAACATGTACACACATAAAGTGGACCAATTTTCACTTGTTCATGGAATTTCTGTATGCAATCTTCCAAAGAATTACCATGAAACCTTCTCTTACTTAAATTGTTTTCATGGTCTGTGAATTCTGAATCAAGCCTCCTTTTAGCTTTAGAAACTCTATCACTCTCTTTTTCTTTTTCGCTGTAATTTTTTCTACTTTGCTGTTTACATAGCCTTTCCTTCTCAAGCTGCTGTACATTGTCTCTTTTCTTTCTTTTTGCTTCTCTTTCTTTTAAACAAAAATTTGTATTTTGTCTTGCCTTGTTCATACATTTTGAGGTACTTTCTCTGTCCTTGACCTTTGCCTCTGGATTTTTTCTGACCCTTCTTTTACAATCAAGCTCTTTTTCTTTAAACTCTCTGTTTTGCCTAGCTTTGTTTTTACTTTTCAAAGTACTGTCTCTATCCTTCTGCTTTATCTCAGGATTTTCTCTGACCCGTCTTTTACAATCAAGCTCTTTTTCTTTAAACTCTCTGTTTTGTCTAGCTTTGTTTTTACTTTTCAAAGTACTATCTCTATCCTTCTGCTTTGTCTCAGGATTTTCTCTGGCCCTTTGTTTGGAAGCAAGTTCTCTCTCTTTAAATTCCTTATTCTGTCTTGCTTTGGTCATACTTTTTAAAGTACTTTCTCTCAGCTTTAGCTTTGTCTTAGGATTTTCTCTAACAGTTCTTTGGGAAGCAAGTTCTCTCTTTTTAAATTCTGTACTTTGCCTTGCCTTGGTCATACTTCTTAAAGTGCTTTCTTTGTCCCTCTGTTTTATCTGCGAATTTTCCCTCCTTTTCCTCATATAATTTCTCATATAGTCATTTCGACTTCCTTGCGATGATTCAGAAATGTTACATTTTCTAGACATGTTCTCTTGGAAGTCAAAGTATTTGTCAATTAAGGAAAGCCTCTCAGTTCCTGAAGTGGGCACACTTGTTTTTTGTGTTACAAACACTGGTTGAATCTCAATCTGGCTTATCATGGAAATATTACAACTTTGATAAAATGCAAACATGTAATCCACAAGTTGATCAATATCACTGAAAGTGATTTTAATAGCTCTACCATCTGCACATGAAAGGCCGTCCTCTCCATGAGAATGTGAATCAAAGAATACAGGACAGTTCTTGTCATCCACATATATTGCAGAGCAAATTCCTCCGACTATAATTAATCCTTGATTATACCTTGTAAAGAGCAGCTCAATACCTTCCTTCAAATTATTACTTTGACATGACTGATCCCAATCTACATGTGTCACAGTTCCATAAATCTGTTCAAAATAGCTTATTTCATACTGGTTGTCATGCACATAGACAGACTTGGGAAGTTCTTGAAATTGAAGCATTTTTGAAACAAACTGAACAGTTGACTGTAATTCTGCAATTCTAACTCTAAATAACTCATCCCCAGAAAAGAGCACCTTATCAAGTTCTAATGAAGTGGATGCATTTTGCAAAATGATAGACATCAAAGCATTGCATGTGCACTGAACTCCTCTAGAGAAAGATGGAAATACATTATTTGCTTGATTAATTGTTCCAAATAATCTAGTGCCCATAGGCAAACTGACACCCGAAGGCAACTTTTCAATGTTACTGGCGCCCGAAGGCAAATTTTCAATGTTATTCGTGCCCGAAGGCAAATCTGCACTGTTATTCGTGCCCGAAGGCAAATCTGCACTGTTATTCGTGCCCGAAGGCAAATCTTGTACTCTTTTTAAGGAGGCAGTATCCCCCCAGTCTTTAGCACTATTTTTTACGTGGCTAGCTTCCACGAGTCTAAAAGGTCCGTCATCTGTTGCGTCAATTGTTGGGTCTTTCGTACTATTTTTTACGTGGCTAGTATCCACGAGTCTATTGTCATTGCTGGCACGATTCTGGTTCCCCATCTTCGGCGCAGCCATGCGCCAGTTCCTTCTACGTGGCATCACCAGATTTCTGCAAAACAAATACAAATTTGATTTATTCAATTACAATGAAGTGCATGGAAGTGGTAAATTTTTTGCATTTGAACGAAACATTCGAGTCATGTTTTGAATGTCAAGTATAACATAACGACACGCCCATTTCTTTAGAAAGGATAAAGGAATATTCGTAGTAATGTTTTAGGACACTACACTTTCCGCGACAAGCAACATGAGTTACATCAAAATTAAGATTTTTAAATAAGAAAGAGAGCTGTTTTGAGTTCCCGCAAATGTAAAATAGACTTTGTAACAAATTTGTACATAATTATGATTTTATCATGTTTATTGGCGTTCACATAGCATGTATCAGTCGAACATGTGCTTACTTGGTGTTTATGTAGACCGTCAATTTCATTGGCTATTATATTTATAACATATCTGTTCTACAGGTATTCGATTGAATCATTTGACCGATTTTTCCTTTCTAAAGAAATGGGCGTGTCTAAAGATGGTCAAAACGTTCCATCCAAACAGAAAATTCTACCACTTCAATGCCCTCCATTGTAGTATTCCTTAAACAAACAATTACTTACTTTATGCATTTTCAGTAATAAATCTCCCTAAAACTAGAACTGTCCAAACAGGACAAAATACCCCCCGCTTGGTTTTTCAGAAGTAAGTTTTTCCATAATAAAGATATGTATCACACATGAATTATAAAATTTTTCTTCCAGTGACCTTGAACTTCCCCAAATGACCTTGGGTCAAGGTCATGACAAACCCTTGGGTCATGGACAATCTTTGTGTGAAATGAGAACCTACCAAGTTTATCCATAAGAAAAATATGGACCCGACACAAATTATGAATTTTACTTCCAGTGACCTTGAACTTCCCCAAATGACTTTGGGTCATAGTCATGACACACCCTAAGGTCATGGGCAATCTTTGGGTGAAATGAGAACCTACCAAATTTATCCATGAGAAACATATGGACCTGACATAAATTATGAAATTTTTCTTCTAGTGACCTTGAAGTTCCCCAAATGACCTTGGGTCAAGGTCATGACACACTCTTAGGTCATGGGGAATCTTTCTGTGAAATGAGAGCCTACCAAGTTTATCCATGAGAAAAATATGGACCCGACACGAATTTTTCTTCCAGTGACCTTGAAGTTCCCCAAATGACCTTGGGTCAAGGTCATGACACATCCTTGGGTCATGGGCAATCTTTGCATGATATGAGAACCTACCAAGTTTATCCATAAGAAAGATGTGGACCGAACAGGAATTACGAAATTTTTCTTCCAGTGACCTTTAAGTTCCCAAATGACCTTAGGTCAAGGTCATGACACACCCTTGGGTCATGGGCAATCTTTGTGTGAAATGAGAACCTACCAAGTTTATCCAAAAGAAAGAAATGGACCAGACACAAATTTTGAAATTTTTCTTCCAGTGACCTTGAAGTTCCCCAATGACCTTGGGTCAAGGTCATGACACACCCTTAGGTCATGGGCAATCTTTGTGTGGAGTAGTAGATTCTAATGTCCCTCGGTAAGAAAGATATGGACTGGACACCTTTGCACAGACAGTCGGACAAGGTGATTCCTATATACCCCCCCCCCCCCCCCCCAAACTTCGCTAAAATTTCAAGCATTTGTGATAAGTAGTTGCATAGAAAACAGTGACCAAAAGTTTGTTATTTATGTATGGTGTCTCATTTTATTATATACCCATCAATTTCCTTGTTTTGTTACTGTTAATTTTACAGAGTTTGATCCGATTTTCCGGATCACCACACTGTGGTTTTCTGAATCCATATCACCTCTCTGAAACGGATGACATAGTACGTAAAAACATGACGTTATTTTTCTTGCGCGTTAAAAAGTCCCTTGTACTTATGCTTTGTTTTATGGATAAATGTTATACAAATGATCTCTAAAGTGTTATTTTGCTCTATTTAGCTAGCTATGAGGGGGTATATAATAAATTTATCATTAGAACAGTAACTTGATCTGAAGAGCCGTATCACGTCTAGTTGACAGGCATGGATTATCATATCAAACTCGACGCTTTTCCTCTCGTTAGATCTGATGATCCGCGCCTGTCAACTCGACGTGATATGACCCTTCTGATCAAGTTACTGTTATAATAATATATATATATATAACAGTACTTGATTCTTTTGTATAAAACATGAACGTGTAATTTCAAATTTGGCGCAGTTTCCCTTATACCTAGCAAAGACATCAGATCACGTATGCTACATGTATTAAGTTTCAGTAATTTACCTACCTAAGTATACCTCACAGTCCCAATGAAAAATAACAATGTACATTAAGAAGTTAATTGACTTGTATATTGTATTCACAGCTTTCAGGAATAACATGCATCCCAAATTCCCATACACCTGTTGGAATTTGGTAATGAAACAGGACGTTCATCAAATTATTTCATGCACTTTGATATTGAATACTGTTCGTTATCTCCATATCCTTCCTTCCATTACTTAGTGTTTGAGATGACATGTTAATTCATACAGACTGTCTCAAAATACGCACAATTATATCACAATGCGCAAATACGAAGTAAAACTTACTGAGCAAGTCTATCAAAGCGACCCAAATTTACCATGTGGATTAAATGGAAGTGGTATTTGTCAAGTTGTACATAAAACTTCAGTTTATTGAAGCAACCGGAATAAGCGGAAGTGAGCATTGTCAAGTTATACATAAAATTTCAGGGTTAGAAGGAAGTAAAAACGCTGTATCTTAAAAAATATTCCATTGATTAATTTAAAAATGAATAGGCTTTGTCCTTTCATAATGCCACACACACATGTAAAGGCTGAGAGTGGTTTATGCAAAGTTTCTCTTTAAATCTTGCCCACAAGACACACTAACACACACACATTCAAGATTCTATATCCCCTCCATAATGAGTTGCTCAAGGGGATAATAAAGAATGGCACTCCATGAAAATCTGTAAAGTTATGTTTTATTTGAACATTTTTTTTTCAAATGGATGTTCCATAATTCTTCATCATGAGAAAAGTCAACATACAGATTGTCCATCAACAAAAAGAATATAAGCTATGTATCCAAGTTTTTGCAATACACTGTGAAACAATGAAACCCGCAAGATAATGAATGGAGTATAATTATGTTTAAAATCAAATTATCTATATTTTGCATTGAGATTATAAATATGTTGAATATTCAATATAAATATAATAGCGAGCACAGCGAGCTCAATAAACTAACGTGTAAGAACAGAGGAAATTCGGAATGAAATCTGTACATACGTCAGGCAAATTTTTCTGTGGGGCAACATTCCCAGAATTCTTTTACTTCCCAATGTCCTTTGCACAAATAAATAAATACTAACATAAAGCATAAACAGGCTTTCAGTATGTAGAAATTTTTGAAGAAACAAAAAATAACTTTGCAATTTTTTTCGACCCAAATTGCACTATGGGTGTATAGTTTCAAACAGACCGTCGGCTGTCTCCTTAAGCTCTGTGACATTGTGTGATGTCACAGCTAGTCGAGATGTCTCGCACAGCTTGATGTTTGAAGTGGCTGATCAATATTTCATGTGTTTTTGATGGTACAACTGTGCTCGCCCCAACGGTCACACCGTGAAACATATTAAATGTTAATTAATGTGTGTTATGTTTATTGCAAACAATCAAAATATTCCATAGGAAAAAATTATGTGTTCTACACATTTCATTACTTTAATAATTTTGATTAGTCTAAACGAATTATTCTAAAATGTATGAGTATACAAATCGGAATGTTTCAGTCATATTCTTTTAATTTACTGATTAGTTCGCTACTATTCAATCATAATTTAGTCCATTTGGGTCGCCATTTGACACATCCTTCTAATAAACATAAACCATTATCATAGAGATAATTCGAACTGATTTAAGCACGTTTCCAAGTATTCAGGGCATAAGCTGTTCATATATAGGTCTAATAAAAAACAAAACACATTTAAAACCTACTGTAGATAATTTATTTCTACATATGAAATGCAGACAACAACGTTCAAACCAGCATTTTCTTCTTCGCTCTTCCATCAGTCATTACAAGCCGATTTCTGCATCGAACAAACCAACGCTAAAATGAATCTTTTATTACCATGAAGAATACGATGTATTCATAAAATCAAGATATATTTCATACTTTACAACCTTAAAAAATTGCAACACTCTTACCCACCGTTCGTAATACAAAATCTACGACCTCAAAAAGACGTAAATTGTTTTCAAGACAATCTAGGTTATCACTCTGACAATCTTCTTCCGAGAAACGCTCGTTATGCGCATGCGTTGGTGTTCTGCAGAAAATATAGTCCCGATATTAATATTTTAGGATATTTTTATTTAAGCTAATTTTTAATTTATTATTTCTTTTAATTACATCAGTTTTCCTTTCTTGTTGAAATAACTTAAACATATTGATTAAAAATGTCAAACATAACAAAAATATTTCTTAAACATTTTTAATACATGCCAAAGTATGTAAGGCCTAGCCCCACCCTAGGGCCTAAACCCTGATCCCGAGACCATAGATTTCCTACTTTAAGTCAAGAGCTTATTGCTCTCAGTAGAATCATTAAAATATTTTACCCCCTTGAAGTTCATATTGTGTTAAAACATATTAGGCATTTTCAACATACACTCAACCTAAACTTTGCCCCACCCTAGAGCCTGGATCCCTGACCCTGGGGCCATGAATTTCACAATTTTGGTAGAGGGATCAATGCTAACTACAATCATGCCAACAGTTTGACTATTTGATTTCCAGAAGTAAAGAAGAAGATTTTTAAAGATTACTCACTTTTTGGGTTTTTTTGGCCCCATCCCTTGGGCCCCAGGGGGGCAGAGACCATGAAATTCACAATTTATGTTCTTCTTTGCTCATACGTACTACACACCAAAATTGGTTGAAATTGGCTGAACGGTTTCAGAGAAGAAGTTGAAAATGTTCAAATGTTAACGCACGGCGCACGACGGACGACGCACGACGACGGACGAAAACGGATAGCAATAGGTCACCTGAGTTTACTCAGGTGACCTAAAAAGCGTGGTGCTGGTCAAATCCGTCCTTGGATAAAAAGTATAGTCAACCACACATACTGGGTTGCAGCGTCAAGTGGAAACAATGGGCAAATGAAGGTTGACAAATGGAAATCTATTAGCAACCATCTTATCAATGTCCATGAACATGATTCTGAGGTCTTTCCACGGTGTGAACATGGCCAGCTAATTGAACCTAGAGACTGGATGCAGCAAGGTCATTATCCAATTATTAAATCTATTTCCTTTTATTTTATAACTGTTACACATTCCAAAAATGTACGCATTTTTTTCCATTCTAGGCTCTAGATACCACAAGATGGTAAAAGATGTTGTGGAGAGTCCCTATCTCCTTAGAGATCTTCCAAAACTGTCACCTGTTTACCAGACATATGGACTTGAAGTTTTTCACTCTGTGGTGAATCATTTCGCACCAAAGAGTACACACTTCTTTTACATGCCAATGCTTGCAAGGTTTGTAGCCTTTCTTTTTTAATACATTCATAGTTCTATAGATTAAAGTAAAAAAAAAGTCTTTAGAATATTTTTTATTATTCATTTTCAACAGGTTGTGTATTGCTGCATTTCATTACAATGAAAACGGAACGAGACGTCAGTCAATAACAAGAGAGGGTGAACTACAGTGGAGTGTATCCTACCCAAAGGCAAAGAAAGGACAGGAATGTGTAGTAAAACCTCGCAGAGTGCCTGCAACCTTTGGTAATTAAGTTAAAAGAAGTGACTAACAAATGCTATTGCATAATTTTACATATATATATATCTATTAAATCTATAATGAAATAAAAAAAGAAAATCACTTAGTCTTACATGTATTTGCTTTCCTTATAAGATTTTCATTCTTATATTCTCTTGATTCCACAGAATATGTCGGAAAATTGCTGGAAAAGATTTTTGTTAGAAGACGACACTATCCTTCCTTAAAATTTGCCTATGATGATTTTGTGTTTGGTCATAAAGCTGATGAACCACGCCCACTGACTCATGAGTATGAAGACTTTGACAAAAATGAACTGATTAACAGAAGAACATCTAGATACAACAGATAATTTTTGTTGGAATGTGAAAGATTAAAATGTGTTGTGTTTCAAAATGGAAATGTGTTGTGTTTCAAAAAAGATTGATAGGTGGACATCATATCATTATTTTCATAAACGTGGATATTTGAAACCAGCATAAGACTCAGATGGAAATGTCTGTCTGATTTTGGATACCACACAAGCAGGGATAATTTTTCGTCTCTTTTTCCCTAGGATATGCCAGATCCAACGAGTGAATCTTCTGTAGGCAAAGTATATATATATAATCTGTAATATAAAATTAACCATGAAGAAAATACTATATCATAATTTACTTGACATGTTTCAAAGAAAAAATCAAAAAATTTTATAAGAAAAGTTATGTGTATACATTATCTTACTCATGTATTGGCTCATTGTCATCAAGGGGCCCATCAGTGTCTACAAACTCATACATAGAGACTTCCAGGACGTCAATATTGAGGCAATTTCCCTGAAACCCATCATGTTCTGTGATACACTTTAACTCCTTTGCTTCTACTTTTACCAAAATGGGTGCAATTTCATGGCAGCATAAACATTCTTCATTTGTTTCCATTACTTGGCACCTTTCACAGACACACCTTGTAATGTACATCAAATTATATATTTACTGTTCATTTATGAAATATATATATTGATAATACTGATAATGAATGGGTGAACAAAAGTTTCATTTCTGAAATATAAACTAAAACTAGTAAAATATTTGTTTTATTTACATACCATGCTAAATTCTCTCTGCGGGTTCCAATTACCCCATCTGCATTTTCCTCCTCCAAATCACCTCCCTCTGAATCTTCAGATTCACTTCTATTGCTGCCTTGAGTTTGATTTAATAAAGGCTCAAAATTATAGGGTCTAATTTCTTCAGGAGCAAGGGAAAATCCATCTAACGAGTCTTCTTCCATTGTTTTGTTTAAGATAAAGCGAGAATTTGCAGGAAGCTCACCTCTGACGTAAAAATCTCCCACGTGACTCTTATCTCATTAATTGTCGGCATTGCTCGGAGAACTGCATCGGTTGGTATTTATAGATTACTACATCCAGCTGTGCCTTGTTATCTGATGCTTGTTTAACAGATTCAGTGTGAGAATTTGACTTAAGAATGCTAAGGACATTGAATGCAGACAAAATATTTTTTATGTCCTGTGTCCTTTAACATTACTTATCCAGGACCATAACCCGGTAGCTATATGTTAAAAAGAAGCACATTTAAAAGATACAGAGACGGCGCAGCCACTCGTTACGGACTCTTATCAGGACTTGGACATAATCTCAGTGAATTCGGAAGACTTGACGGAAATAAACGATGCTTTTGTTGGGGAAATTCTGGGCGACATAGAGGAGGAAGAAACGTGTGCGCGACCAACAGAAGAAATTCTCGATTCACCAGACGTGAGCGCAACCGCGAATTCGTCATCAGAGGACAGTATTGTGTATGACATTGACGATAATAACAACCGCGTAAGTGTCGAGACGTCAACCAACTGCCTTGTGATGAAGAAGACGATTCGGACTAATCCTGACGGTTCCGAGAAGATTAATCGCGGATATCAATTTATCTACTCAGAGAACATAAATCCAGAGGAAGTAGACTTTCGTGATCTTGCCGAGGAGATTCTGGATGAGGCTCCGCGACACCTAGCGCCGAGTGCCCGTGTGCGGATAGTCAAGGGAGATTTGTCCTTGTGAACCGTGTAACAAACGAAAGGCCATACTGAAAAGATGTGAACTCTAACAAAAGACTTGTGATCTGTTAACAAGCTTTTATGTATTTTTTTTTTAAAATTATTTATATCTTTGACTTTTATTAAGTTCTAATGTCACGTTTGTAATTATTTTTTTGTGCTTTGTTTGTCCGAAGGTGGTTTAATGTTTATGTAGACTATGTTTGTTAGGTGTAAGTTTATATGTTTACTGTTTCAAAAAAATGTTTTTATTATGGATCAAATCAAGTCAAGTCACATAAAAAAAGACTGGTTGAAACGCTCACACATGGACATATACATACAAACGTTTAGGTAACTCGGAATAGTCTAAAGTAGAACTATATTTTCCTGAAGACGGAATGTCCAGTACATCTAATGTTCACGACTGGGATAGTTCACGGCAGTTTCATCACACATACGCAATTATCATACAGGTCGAACGCTCTTTGAGGTTGAGGATTTACACTAACTCCTTAGATAAATACTGAGTATCAATGTCCTTTTTACTGTCTTAACTTGATAGGTAAATAATTTTAGCATATGTTAAAAATAAGCATTAGAAATTATTCTTTTCATAAAATTCAATTCTGTTACATATATAAGTTAACTTTATGACAATTGTCATGCTGCAGATCTGTATCTCGCTAGCTGTTCTAAAAAAAAATTGAGATGGATCACCAGAGAGCTACAGTGCAATCCATATTATCTCAAGTTCAGGCTCAGAAGAACAATTAAAAACGGTTGTAAGGTTTGTTAAACTATAGAAAAGTTTAAGGAATGTATTAAAGACACACGGTAAATAATATTTTTAGATTCAAGCAGTTGAAAAACACGGACTTGAACATAGCTTCGGTGCAATATTTTTCTAATATTTTAAAGTTTTATATTCTTCGTATTTCTCAATTCATCATGTTTAAATCACGTGTATTTATTTTTATTAGGACACATTAAACCTTATTTGTCAACCAGTCTGACAGTATCCATCTGTCACGAGAACTTTAAACTTGATAATAACTTTGAATGAGTTGAAATAGGACTTTCATATTTCAAATGTGCATTATTTGTGACATGTAATTTTCAAATATACTGTGATTTTTAACCCCGTGACCTTGATCTTGAAGCTTGACCTACTTAAAAAATAACAATACTTTAAATTGACCATAAATATTGAAAACTTTCATTTTATAAACATGTACATGTAATACCTGTGTCAACGCCTTTGAAAATTCATTATGATTTTTTACCCTTTGACCTTGAAGTTTGACCCATTTTTTCAAAAACATTAATAACCATAGTTATACCATTTGAGAGAAAAGAGATCGATTAGGGCTTTTACTTTACCACTGTGTATTACCTGTAACAACGTTTTTTTTAAATACCGATACGCTGATTTTGACAACGTGACCTTGAGGCTTGACTTACTTTTCACAATTTAATCTTGATCATAACTTTTGAATGAAAAGAGATAGGGTTTTCCTATTATATAAAAATCAAATGTATGTGACCTGTGATAAAATCATTTCAAATACTAGCATATAATGAACTTTGACCTCGAAGTTTAACCGGCTTTAAACATTGCTTAAAATTGACCATGACTTTTGATAAAGAAAGGATAATACTTTCAAACCTAGATTTACACATGCATACACGTATTAGATGTGACAAAGCCTATCGAAAAAAATATAGGTTAAGAATTCGTCAATACGGTAGCATACAAATGGCTTTGCTTATCACCAGCGTGTGTCATAGTGTGACGTAAGGTCATTTTAACAAGGTCAAGGTCGCAAACATTCCTTTACTGTCTTTTTTAATAGTAAAACATTATTACCATTACAGGCTTAGTTTGAACTTTCAGTAAGGGCGGCATTCTCAACGTTACCTAATTAGCTTCTGAAATTTGCACAGCTTCCCATCATTGTTGAAATATACATGTGATAGAGATGCGGTCGAGTGTAGTAAATATACAATTAAAATTTATCTAACGACACAGAGGTGGGGCATAAGTCGTCTCATCGTTATCACAACAATTTTAAGTTCCTGATGTTATTAATTTCGTAACCAATGAGAATCTACTAGAATTTGCTTTTACGTAGCGCCGAGAAAGTCACGCCCTATTGAAAGTCCAAAGATTGGGTGAAAAACTCATATTAAGATGACATCTACCCTTAAAAGATTGCTTTAAGAGTAGAAAGTGGCATGACCTTGACCCAAGGTCATTTCTCCTTGTCCGCAGCTCCGACGGAAGACCTACTCGTTGCTTTGCAACGAGCTCGGCTCTAGTTAATACATTATTTTTATCCAAAGTGAATGAGTTGTTCTAGTAGTAGTAGGAAATCACTTTATAAGAATAATTTACAAATGGATACTGTTATTTGTAAATTGTGCAAAAAGTCGTATGCCAATATGGGTAAGTTGAAGTTCGCGGTCACATGTCATTGAATTCTACTTGTGCTGTCAAAATTTTAATGAACATTCAAATTCATAGGTTTAGTTTTAATTTGTTTAGGAAATACTACAGATCTCCAATTTCATCTCGAAAAACATCACCGGCATGAAATGGACACACCTACTACAAAAAATCCTGTTAAAAAATGGTCCAACCTACACTGGCTCAAGTGAATTCCACGCAGTCTAACTAAGGAAAACTCAGCGCAAAAAAATTAAAACCCTCAAATATTACCCTAAAATTCATTGTTGGAAAGGCGCCGAGGCAGTGTATATTTTTCGTGGTGAAATTTTGAAGAAGAGGCATTGGACTTTGCTTTAAAATGACTGATTTTTTGAAAATTGATTACATAAATAACTGATTGTGATTGGAATTTGTATTTAAGTTTATGGAAAAACATTTGGTGGTGTTTGTCCTATTGTTCAGTTTAATTTCAGGTAGTACGAACTAACAGTGAACAACCTAACTTTTTAACTAAGAAAATCGTTGCCGTGGTCGTTCCATGTTTATTCGATTTATATCAGTGTGAGAGACAATTTTGATGGGGAAATCGTAAAAAAGTCCGTTTTTCCTGAAATCTGCTTCGTTATCGGGATTGAGGATGCGTACGTCTCAATCTTATGACATTAATTTTCGGTATTAAGTTGATACACTCAGATGTAGCTATGGAACATGATTTTAAAGGCACTTCTCAAATTACCCTACCCAGAGGTATTGTGAGCAAGTAGTTCAATGAATAATACCCTCGCCTCCTATCTGTATATACGTATAATGACAAGGAAAAAGATACACACACAAAAAGTCAACTAGCACTACTAAACACTATATATGTACATGGTTACATGTTCTATTGGAACTGAATATAAACATTATCAATGAAAGAAATCCGGACTGCTGTGAAATACGTTTGGTCTATCGGGTATTCTCAGGTAAACGGGTCAATTACGTGAATTAATTACGACAATCAATAAATCGTACATTGTTTCGTTCTCTCGAAATGGCATATCGAAACTTACTCGATAAAGAATAACTAAAGAGAAATAATACATACGGTATATTTTAACATAGGAATTGTGATCTACTATAAATTTGGAAACGTTTCAGGTCTATTCATTTCTTGGGAAAAAATAATTAACATAGGCGTTTGCATTGCAGAGGTATATGGGTTGTTCAAGAGTTGGTAACGCGAATTAACTGTAGAGTTTATACTGAACTGAGAGAATAATCTTTGTTCAATATCATTAGATATTTGATTCAGTTTGCGTTCAATCACGTAAAGTCATTCACTTTGTTAATACCATTAGGGCGGAATGATTCAATCTTTGCATCAAGAACTTTTCTTTGCTACTGTCATGTCTTCCCATTCGTGACCCTCGAAGTTTATATGTCCCCCATCGGGTTCATTGAGTTTTTTGGTCCTAATGGTCGAAAGGTGGATATTGACTCTCCGGCGGAGATCTGTTTCACCAATATACTGTTTGGAGCAAACTTTGCAACTGATGAGATAAATGCAGTTGTCAGTATGAGCGGACTAATTCCCAAGTATTTTGTAGCTGCGTCCTGTATCGGGGTTGCTAAAACTGTTTTTGTCAAATTTAAAAAGAAGACATCTGTCAGAGCAAGTTTTAAAGCCCCCTCCCCTGTTAAGTAATGGGTTGTCCAATCTGGTTCTTACTACCATGTCCTTGGGCATCTGTATGAAGCCAGTGGGCGTTCCTTAGAGACCTCTCCCATTCGTTTGTTTGAGTAAAGAATTAGAAGGTTTTAGAAAAATACCGCTAATTAAGATTCTTTAGAACAAGATGGTTACCAGAAGGACCCCGCCGCTGTTGTCTTTTACCTTGTAAATTAATAGGTTTTTGCCTGTCAACTCCCGCCATCTCATCAATAGCAGTTTGTACAGTGCTCTAATCTCAAGAGATTTAGGGGCTTTAAATATGCCTTTGACTAGCTGTTGTTTATATTTGTCTTTAAATTTCGAAGGTGCTTGGTCAAATGATGTTCAATTGTTTTAAAGGCTAATGATGGAGTCTGCCTCAGCATTGATGACAACTGGTGGTTATTTTATGCCTTTGACTAGCTGTTGTTTAATATAGTCTTTAAGAAGGATATGGAAATAACGAACAGTATTCAATCTCAACGTCCATTAAACAAATATACAAAATAAAAGCAGAGCAAACACGGACCTCCGAAACATCAGAGGTGGGATCAGGTGCTTGGTCAAATGATGTTCAATTGTTTTAAAGGGTAATGATGGAGTCTGCATCAGCATTGATGATAACTGTTTTTTTTTCTCCGAGTTCTGAAATTTTCATAGAAACTTGGAGTACACCAGAGTTGTTAAGTGTAACATATTGGTAAATTCTTCGGACAAGTCAATACTTCTTGCCGGCCATACCTTTTTTTCATATCAAAAAATGATTTCAACTACCAAACACTCTTTAAATAAAAAAAGAGCCTTATCCGATAGATTTTACACAATTTAGTAGTGTATTGGTAGTTCTTCGTTTTTCAAAGAATAAGGATATGGAAATAAC